AAATTGTTCGAATTTTTAGTACCTAACAGTAATCTTAGTTTCACCCGTCCAAATTGTACCAAATTTAGTACTTTTCGTACACATAAGTACAAATTCCAAATGCACCTGCACCATTTAGTACACATAATTCAATCTTCAACAGTAATCTTAATTCCAAATTTTAGGTTTTCAGTTCTATCCTTTCAAGCAAAATCTAAATTGTACTAAATTTTGTACTATATAGTACGTTTCGTAACTACGAATTTTCCATACTACACTCCAACTGTCATTTTAATTCCCAATTTGAAGACTCTAGCTTTACCTGTTCACCTAAATCCAACTAGCACCAAATTTAGTACCATTTAGTACTTTTCGTTCACATAAGTACGATTTTTTAAAGCTACATCAATCCTGTACTCCAATAGTAGTACTAGTTCCGATTTTCAGGATTCCATCTCCATACACTCAACTAAATGCAAATAGTAATAAATTTAGTACCATTTTGTACTCTTTATACACTTAAGTACGGATTTCTTAAACCATTTCCATACATCAACACCACTTCCCAGACTGTATTCTATAAAAATGTTCAAGATTCTACCTTTATATATGTTCAATATATATACAATTAGAACTGATCGCCCATGTGACATGTTCCGAGAGTTTTTGAATTCCCATACTTTTTTTGATTCCCATTTTGGGCAAAAGTGGTGTGCCCAATTTCGATCGAAAGTGCGACTCGAAACTTTAGCTTTGTTCAATATGTTACGAACTATGTTCACTAACTACCAACAAAAAACATATGTTTTTTAACGTATTTTCTATTTGTTTAACAACAAAATTATGAAAAACTGCAAGCTGGCTTGATAATTGCCCTGATTTGTACTAGAAGAAGGCTAATGATATTGGAACGTTTTAAACGACGTCGCCTTAGGGAATCTGTGTAAGTATTTCGATGTTTGCAAAGCTATGCAATCCTGAAAAGGTTGTCGAAATCGTAAACGTAGGAATGTATTGTTTAAAAAATCTGTCATGTCTGCCATATCTAGCTCACAAAATTCTAGCAATCTTTACGGCGGCGGAGGAGGCGGCAGTATAATGGGTATATGCTTTGGCAACAATCTGTTATCGAAATTTCCCCCTATAAAATGACAGCATCCATGGCCATTTTGTTGGCCTCACCATCCAAGTCAGCTGCGGGCTCATCGTCAAAGAAAAAATCCACAACATTCTCTTCGACGTTAGCATCCTCGTTAAATGCGACGGCGCCAGGAAATTAATGACTTTTTATTTTCATTAATTTTAGTATAAAATCTAATTTGAATACTAGGTTTTTTAATTAAATGTTGTAAAAACAAGTTAAATATTAAATCTGAATTCATTTTAAACTTGTATGTGCTCAGAAAAGCACGTACAATATCATTTCTTTTTCGATCCACAAGGCTACATGTGGTCGAATTGTATTCCCAATATTTTATTGGGTATTCGGAATGGAGCCCACAAAATGTGGGAAAATGTTTCACATTCGAGCAAACTCGAAATGCAGCACATGGGCGAATTATAGTAAAGTTTAGTACTTTTCGTACACTTATAGGTCGGATTTGATCCACATTTCAAATTTCAGAATTCTTCCCGTTCGCCTAATACAAAGGGCTCCATATTTGGTACATATTAGTACTTTTCGTACCCTTCTAGTTTCCCATTTCGTACACTCCTAGTTTCGAATTTCCAGAAACCCAGCCTTATCTCACGCCCAAAAACCAACAACAACCCACACTCAAAATTTCAAGCTTTCTTTCAGCATGATCTGTCATCTATTTTATATAATTGGGGTCGTACCTAAAACACATGTATTTCAATTAATGTTACCAAATACGCATTGCGTATACAAATATAAAGTTGACAATTTTCAACATTGACAGATAGAAATTCAACAGAAATTCAGTCATTGAAAAGTTTGTGTTTTTATAAAAGCAAAAATTTTTCGATTAATGAAAAAAACGTTGTCAACAAATTTCGCCGTTTTGAAATGGCACAGATGTAAATGAAGTCCATGCGTATTTGGGTAATACCATGATGCAATAATAAGGTGATGTATCAAAACAAAAACCTTTGTTTTTGTCTCGATTATCTGTCAATTTTTTCCATATAATATTTCAAATGATTGGCAACACTGCACATCGAATTCAAGTAGAAGTTAGCCACTTTGACAGTTAATCAAGACATCAGCTGCGCTAAATGGACTACCTATTCATTGTGGCATGGTACTACCCATGGCACAATGATTGGGTAGTCCATATATATGGAAAAAATTTACAGATAATCGAGACAAAAACAAAGGTTATTGTTGTGATACCTCACCTTATTATTGCATCATGGGTAATACGGACGGCTAACAAACCCCATAAATGTTAGTATTTTTGTGCGGAGCGCAATAAATTAGATATTGACTTAAGCTTCATTTACACGATTGAGGGTCTCTTCAAAATACTTAAAACTCGTGTAAACAGCAAAATTTATTAAACAAAACTTTTGAAGATTTTATTGTTGCCGTGTAAATACCCTTCAAAATAGCATCTGGCAATATTGATGACTAGAAATATTTTGACAGCATGTTCATTCTTCATCAATACATATCATATGGTTTTGTTTACACATTTTTATTGTGGCAATTTAATTAAATCAATTGCGAACTAAATTCTAATTAATGAATTAATATGAGTTGGCAAGTATTAAATATTTAATAACAATATATTTGTGATGAATTATATAAATATTTTTTTTTTTAATAGTGATAACGTTTATGATAACATGCGCTACAATCGCAAGCAACAAAAAATGTGGACAGGAGATGAACTGAGACTTTTAATCAAAATGGTTGAAGAACGCCCGCCGATATGGAACTACAAAATTGATGGATACAGAAACCGGCATGAAAATGAGAAGTGCTGGTTAGAAACTTCTGATGCAACCAATCATTGCGTAGCCGACTGTAAATCGCAATTTAAGGCTGTGCTATCACGTTATAATGTAAATTGTTATTTTTTGTTTTGTTCAAATTTACAAATATTATTATACATTAAAGGCGGAGCACAAAAAAATAAATTCCTCCAAAAGTGGACAAGGTGGCACTACGTATGTATCAAAATATGAATATTTTGCAGCTCTACACTTTTTAGATACTTTGAGATATCGTGGACCAGGAGGTACAGAATCAAACTCCGAGACCTTATCATGTTCATCTTCTGAGGATGACCAGTTTCAGAATTTGGAATCTCACTGTTCAATTGCAAGTTCTATTCATGCAAAGCGTAGAAAAGTACAAGAAGTTTACGAAAAACTTTGCCAATTACTATCCCAGAAAGAGTTCCAAGGAAAAAAGACATAAGTTGGCAGAAGAGCTATGGAGAGTATGTTGGGCAGCAGCTTTCTGCATATTCAGAATCAAATGCCCGCAAGTGAGTTTGAAATGAATGGTACTCAAATAACATTTGATGCATTTTTTTTTTTTATTTTCAGACTGAGAACTATAATTAATAATGCCATCGACTCATTTGAAGCAGAGGAAAACAATTAACTTTGTGTTATTTTGTATTTAATTTTAATATTTTATATGTGAACTGAATGCGATTTATTTTTAATACTTTAATCTATTGCTTTGCATAGAAACTGTATGTAATTTTAAGTTGCCAACTTAATGAATTGACCTTTTTTCTTTTAATTGGATTTTTTAATAAATATGCTTGTATTGACATGAAACTTCTCCTTGATTTGAAAAAAATATTCCGTAAATTCTTGTCGAATGAGCTTGGATGTATCGCTTTGGCATCCTTGGTTGCACAATGGTTGTACCGAAGATAAAATATACTCAGATCGCGCTTCTTCACGCCATCGTCCATCCGTTATAGACCCTCTTGTTTGTGCATATGTTCCACATTTGCGTTTGTTCAAAAAATTGGGTACATCACATACTGCGAGAACTACTTTGACAACATTTCGATGGGGAAAGTTCCATTGTTTTTCTGACAATGCGAAATCGGACTGATATTAATCGAATCACGGCTATATCTGGACAACCTGTCATTGAAAATGCTTTCCTTCGTGTTTTGATTTCGAGAAATATTATGGTTTCATAATATTGGAATTTAAGGGAAACGCATCATCTGCAACAATCACATATGGAATTGGTTTTGTCTGCAGAGCAGTGGTTTTGGATGCGGCAAATTCAACGTGTTATTATATAATCCATTCGATAGCGAACATCTACTGAATACACCGACATCGCACTCTCTACCGTTTGCACCACCGTCGATATAAACAAAATTGTAGTTTGCGTCCACAAGAACCATTAAAACAATGCTGTTTTTCTTTTTATAATTGAAATATGTGTTTTCACATTGAGCTGGTGCTATAATATCGATGTGTTTTCCATCTAGTGCCCAGATTGAATTGGGAAAATTCCAAGTTTTATTTATACTTTAGGAAATACCCTCCCATTCCTCTTCTGTTGCTGGCATAAATATATATTGTTTTACGTAATAAATTCGGGTTAACCTTTAAAAAATTATCTTTAAATACTTTACATAATGCAGTGCAGATGATCTCGATCTTGTAAACAAAAAATCACTATGTTATTCCCAGTCGTTATCCGGGGCATTTAGATTTCCTCATATTAGTATTGACCTTTTCTATTTATGGAGTGACTAGTTCAAGCAAATAATCTAAATCTTCTGGTGACATTCTCACAAATAAGTATTGTACTGTAAAAAAAAACATTTTATTTATTTTTAAGAATTGCTATTCGCAAAGAAATATATTTTTTATAAAAAAATGGTAATGTAGGTAAATGGTACAATCGAAATCATTTAAAATTATCGCTTATAGCGACCAATTTCGCCGGAGCATTGGCCGTCGATTCCGACTGTAGTAAGTAAATATAAACGAAAAAATATATCACAACATAAATGATTAGCGTAATATTTTGATACTCTTATAATTTGTTGTAAATCTCTTATATTTAGTACAGCCCCGAGACGGCGCGGCATAGGGTTGACAAGGCCGATTGCCAGTCTTAGTCCGTATCAGAATAAATGGGTTATTAAGGTACGTGTTACCGCCAAATCGCCCGTGCGTACTTGGAGCAATGCCAAGGGTGAAGGAAAACTATTCAGCATCGATTTAATGGATGAATCTGGTGAGATACGAGCCACCGCATTTCGTGAGCAGTGTGATAAATATTATATGATTGAGGTCGACAAACTCTACTATATCTCTAAATGCCAATTGAAACCGGCCAACAAACAATACAGTACACTGAAAAATGATTATGAGATGACCTTCACCAGTGATACAGTTGTCCAACCCTGTGAGGATGATGATGACGGTGGAGTACCGGTGATCAAATACGATTTAGTTCCCATTTCCCAGGTGGCTAATATGGAAACAAAAGCATCCGTTGATGTTGTTGGAATTTGCATGGATGTCGGCGAATTGCAGTCCTTTACGTCGCGTACTACAAATAAGGAGTTTAAAAAGCGCGATTTGACATTGGTGGATACCAGTGAAGCGGCTGTAACTGTCACCATATGGGGAGATGAAGCCGTCAATTTTGATGGCCACGAACAACCAGTGGTTTTGGTAAAGGGTGGCCGTATTAACGAGTTCAATGGCGGGAAGTCTGTTAGCATTGGTAATGGTTCGACTTTGAAAATAAATCCAGACATACCAGAGGGTCACAAGCGGCGGTATGAAATAAGTCCCCAAACAGAAAATGAAATATGTCCCTAATTTACATCAAAAATCAAAAAATTACATCACAATTACTCCTAATTTGATTTAAAGATTTCGATTCCATATAGAATTGTTCTTCATTCGGATGATTATGGTCAATATAAAGTTTTTTGCAAAAAAAAAAAAAAAAAAAACTATCAATTTTCTACATACCCTAGCTTAGCATGTTTTAATTCTTCATTCAAATTTTTAAACACTTTGGTTTTCAGATTTTTATATAAATCATTTTTTGTTATGACCGTAATTCTTGGAAAATATCAATTATAGTTTTTTTTGTTTTGTGTATAAAAAATTGGGGACTTATTCCATTTTCTGTTTGGGGACTTATTTCATACCGCCGTCAGAAGCTACGTGGTTGGTTTGATAATGGCGGTGGTGCCAACATAACCAATTCAGTCTCAGCAAGGTATGTCAAATGTTTGCAGTATTAAACATTTTTATTCTGTTATTAATTCTTGGAAAATATCTTATTTTAGAACCGGAGCTGGTGGTGGTTTCAGTACAGAATGGCGCACACTCCACGAAGCTCGAAACTTGGGTACTGGCGACAAACCGGACTATTTCCAAACAAAGGCCGTTGTACATTTGATTAAGAGTAATAATGTCTACTACAAAGCTTGTCCCCAACCCGATTGCAACAAGAAAGTTATCGATGAACAAAACGGCCACTATCGTTGCGAGAGATGTAATGCCGATTTTACCAAATTCAAATATCGTCTTTTATTCAAAGTTAGTAGAAAGCGAAGCATTTAAATTAGATACAAATTTGTAAAATCCATTATTTGTTATTTTTCTCCAGATGAGCATTGGTGACTGGACTTCAAATCGTTGGTTTATATGCTTTAGTGGTATGGGCGAACAGCTATTGGGGCGCAGTGCCCAAGAAATTGGTGAAGCATTGGAAAATAATCCCACAGAAGCTGAAGAAATTTTCACATCAATAAATTTCCATTCATATGTTTTCAAATTGCGTGCTAAAGTTGTAACCTATGGGGTAAGACATATTGTTAGATTTGATTTCAGAAAATAATAAATATATGTTTTTTTTTTAATTTTCAATAGGATATGAGTCGCAACAAATTAACCGTACAATCGGCATCTCCAATCAACTATAAAGAATATAGTAAATATTTGATTGACAGTCTGAAAGAAATGACTGGTATTAATAAGGCTTAGTTTTAGAATTACAAAATAATAATTATTTATTTACGCATCTTGAAATCGATATGATTTTTTTATTGTAATTGTTTATCATATTTTTGTACTGTTGTACTGTTTGTTGTACACCCGAACTGTTGTACTGTTTGTTGTACACCCGAAAAATTACATTGTAATTAAATATTATTTGAACTTAATTTTGGAGTTATATATTTTTAAAAGAACCGAAGAAGTTCTGAGAGGTAGTTCACAAATATTTTGCATCATTTTTCTGTGGTAAGAAATCAAATATATTAGATTTATTGAGACCTTTAAATTATGTTTTCTGACCTATGTATATATCTGGAGGTTGTAATGGCATGGGACCGGAAAGTTTGAAATTATATAAAAATTTAAATTGATTTTCAAGGTATAAACGCATTTTATGATCAAATTGTATTTTATCTTGGCATTCCGGTATTCCTGGAATGTAAAAAACAGGCGATATAGATATATTTTTTTTTTTCAAGAATACCACAAGGCGTGGAAAAAAAAATCAAAAAATTCCACAAGGCGTGGATTTTTTTTTTTAAATATTATTTCAAGAATACCACAATTGATTTTAAAAAAATATATTTTCCAGGAAATCCAAAAGGCGTGAATTTAAAAAAAAAATTAAAAATTTCGAAAATTTCCACAAGGCGGATTAAGGGAACCACCCCCCCCCCATTCTCGGGGTCAAAATTTTTGTAGATATAATTCGAATCTACACTGATTAAAGAATGTCTCTACAAAATTTCAAGTGAAAATCTCAAGAACTCTTGAAGATATAGACGATTTATTGTGTCAGCATCAAGTGACGGCTGAAGGGCTTCTCAAACTTTAAACGCGTTTTTCTCTAAACATTTTTTTGTGAATGGCGGGCACGATAACTCAAAAACTAATAGTCCAATCGGTTCTAAATTTTGCAACGTTTCTCTGGGAGTGTATAGCTCTCGTATGAACTAGGATAAAGCCAATCGGTCAAGATCTTCCTTATTTTTTAACTTGGTTTTTGGTGAAAAATCGGCGATTTTCCAAAAATATTTTTTCAAAGGTCCACCATTTTGTTAATTTTAGAGCGAAGTCAATAATCCTAGTTCATACGCAAGATGCATTTAAGGGAACCCCACCCCCCATCCCCCCCCATTCTCGATTTGAATTTTTTAAGATTTTCAATGGGCTGGTAAATCAATACCAATGCTTGTTAAGGTTTGTAACTTTGCACATATATAATTGAAGATTTAAAAGAGAAGAAAAATAATTTACAAAAAAATTTTGTTATTGTTTTGTTGTTGTTTTTTGTAATTAAAGAAAAGTCCTTATTTTTGATGGCGGGCATGATAACTCCTCACTGGAACATCGGAATCCGAAAATTCCAACGGTGTTAGAAAGAGTACATGTCTGGCTCTCGTATGAACTAGGATTATTGACTTCGCTCTAAAATTAACAAAATGGTGGACCTTAGAAAAAATATTTTTGGAAAATCGCCGATTTTTGACCAAAAACCAAATTAAAAAATAAGGAAGATCTTCACCGATTGGCTTTATCCTAGTTCATACGAGAGCTATACACTCCCAGAGAAACGATGCAAAATTTGGAACCGATTGGATTATTAGTTTTTGAGTTATCGTGCCCGCCATTCGCAAAAAAATGTTTAGAGAAAAACGCGTTTAAAGTTTGAGAAACCCTTTAGCCGTCACTTGATGCTGACACACTAAATCGGATATATCTTCAACAGTTCTTGAGATTTTCACTTGAAATTTTGTAGAGACATTCTTTAATCAGTGTAGATTCGAATTATATCAACAAAAATTTTGACCCCGAGAATGGGGGGGTCCCCTTAAGTGGGCCACACACCTCAAACATGTGCATTCGATCGGTGTGAAGCTCCTAGCCCACACACGTCAAACGGATCCACTAAACTTCATTTCATATTTATTTTTGAAGCGTGAAGATGGACCGCGATAGTGATGACGGAAAAAAGACGAAATATTTTTATTTAATATAAATGTATTAAATACTTTTATTTTATTCCGGGAACAACATTTTTATTTGCCACACAGTAGAATATGTGTAAAAACATCAAAAAATCTTCCAAATACATATGTATTGCATTTGTCCGCTGATCCGCACTCCACGAAATTTCTCAACAAATGAGAAAATATCCACACACCAGTAGGCCTATTCTGTAACTTTAAACAACATTCGATATTGTTAAAATTTCTTTTGTTATTGTAAAAACAATAAAAAAAACAAATGAAATTGTTGTTAAAAAGTTACAGAATAGGCCTACAGGCCACAGACGTCAAACATGTGCGCGTCGCACAACGAAAAATTAAAAATTTTTAATATCTTTCGATCGGTGTGCGCACCGGCAAATCGGTGTGAACACCGTACCACACACGTCAAACATTGCTTCGATTCACACCGATCGAACGCACATGTTTGATGTGTGTGGGCCACTTTAATGATTAAAGTTTAATCTGACATCGACAGCTCATATTCTCAGACATCAGTTGTATTTTACTTTTCAACGGTTAATAGTCGGGTCGTGTTTTCCGCAATCGGCAATCTGTTATCTCAATATACTCAATACAACCGGTCTTTTATTATATTTTTGCAAGTGCACACATACATATCTACATAAATATCAACAAAAATATTATTTGCGATTTTTTTTTATTTAATTTAAAATACATTTTTTTAAATATTCCACACCATTCATTTGCAAGTAAGTATTTTGTTTCTTTGTATATTTCTATTCATAATTATTCCAGAATATGAGAATGCGAAATAACACAAGAATGGGAAATTAGTATATAATTCCATAATTAAATAGAAATTCTCCACGGAGAGGAATCCGCCCAGTTCAAACATCAAATTTAGCTAAAAATGAAATAAAATAAAAGCTAAAATGCAACAAAAAATTTAAAATTGACTTTTTTGAATGAATATTGTGAATGTCAATAAACTACATGTGTTGACACAGTTTTACACGTCTGCGGTCAAAAAATGAGCTTCTATTAACAAATCTTCATCTTCATTTGACATGTTTATAGTTTTCATTCATAATAGTTTTTTGCTTCTCCTACACAATTATGCTTTTGTTAGTTAGAAATTGAAACATAAGTTTTTAATTTGTTTAGTTTCAAATCTTAAAATAAGTATGTCAGCACAAAAAGCTGTTCAGTTTAATATACCTTATTATACAGAAGAATAGGAAACTAGTATATAATTCCATAATTAAATGGGAATCCCCAACGGAGAGAAATCCGCCCAGTTCAAACACGAAACAATGCCTAACGGCTACAACACAGGCTGACGTCAGAGTGAAAACGAAAAGCGATGCTATACTACATGCTATACCATAAATATACACACGCAGAGGTTTATAGCGTCGTCTAGCGGCATATAATAGCATCGTTTTTAAGAAAAAAATTCATGAACTTAACAAAAGGTTTCTGCATGGATTTCGGTTATTTTGTTTCATATTTTATATTCATTAAAATGCGAAAAAATTAAAATAAAAAACAAAGAAACTCAAACAGAGACAAACGAGTTCTTGCTATAAACCATTGCACAACTCGTGTCGTCTCGCTTGGCGTCGGCCTTAAGAAGTCCGTCGCGTTAAGTGTTATCGAAAATACAACAACCACAAGGGAACGATAGCAGCAACGCTTGATGTAGATGTCCCAATTGAGAGTATTAATCGAAAATAAAAATTGAGTAGACCCAACCCGTTTAACTATATTTATGTTTATATTTATTTTTTTATCTTTTAATTAATGTTGTAAAATTAATTTTAATATTGCAGATATTTGAGTAGTGCCTAAAATGTTGTAATTTTTTAATACTGTTTTAATAACCACGATAACATGATACAATACATTTTTTAATTATTTATTTATATTAAGCTGTTTCCGTTCGATCTTCGAGTAGAATCTTGGTTGAAGTCAGAAATTTTGTTTGGGTTTCTGTAAATAATTACAACTTTTACTATTATTGCTTGTCAAGTAAGTGGAATGTGGATGTATTATTCATGGCCCGCAATTGCCGTGATTGATAAGATGTTGCTTGATTTATTTTAGTGTAGGATTTTCGCATCATATTCACCACACTGTGGTACAGGTTATTATGCATTTGTGCATATGTCTGTAACAGGCAGAAGGAAACGAGATAGACACATGGTTCCTTTTGAGAATATGCTATGCAATCATTTTTTTAAATCGATTTATGCATATCGTATTGAATTAAGAGTAGAATCATGTGTGTTAGGTTTCGTGAAATTCGTTTTATATTTAAATAGAGCTCCCATATATATTTAAGGTAAATGGTGGACCAAAGTTCCTACATATCTTTTAATTTGCACGAAATTTGGCACAGCATATTTAATTAAGCCTAGAATGATTTGTGCTAAGTTTCGTGAAAATCGGTACAGATTTAGATATAGCTCTCATATATATTTTCGTTTGATTTCATGTAAATGGTGCACCAAAGTCCCTATGTATATTTCAGTTTGCACTGAATTTTGCATATCGTACTGAATTATGTCTGCTAAGTTTCGTGAAAATTGGTTCAGATTTAGACATACCTCCCATATATATTTTCGTTCCATTTAATTTAAAAGATGCAACAAATACCCTATATATTTTTCGAATTGCACGAAATTTGGCGTAACGTACTGAATTGAATAATAAGTGCTAAGTTTGGTGAAGATCGGTTAAGATTTGAATATAGCTCGTCCGATTTTAGGTAAATGGTGCACCCGAATTGGTGTAGATGCAGACATAGCTTCCATATATATTTCGCACGGGTGTCTGATTGAGATTAAATTTTGAACAGTGCGGCATACAGAAGTTTGCTATAAATCGATTTAAATGAGTTTGGCCCTATGTACGCAAACGACTCTAAATCTGCCTGAATGAAATGAAACTTAGCATAGGTTTCTGAATATACGTACGGATTGATGTTAATCGGTTCACATATAGATAAAGGTC